GAGAAGGAGTAAGCTAGGAGTCATCAGTACACAGGCTGAAGCTGTCATCAGTCACACCACAGAGTACGAGTAAGCTTGGAGTCATCAGTACACAGGCTGAAGCTGTCATCAGTCATACTACAGAGTACGAGTAAGCTAGGAGTCACAGTACACAGGCTGAAGCTGTCATCAGTCACACTACAGAGTACGAGTAAGCTAGGAGTCACAGTACACAGACTGAAGCTGTCATCAGTCACACTACAGGGTAGGAGTAAGCTAGGAGTCATCAGTCACACTACAGAGAAGGAGTAAGCTAGGAGTCATCAGTACACAGGCTGAAGCTGTCATCAGTCACACTACAGGGTAGGAGTAAGCTAGGAGTCATCAGTCACACTACAGAGAAGGAGTAAGCTAGGAGTCATCAGTACACAGACTGAAGCTGTCATCAGTGACAGTACAAGCCCCTTCACATGCCAAACATCTTACTCACAAACTTCGATTATTGTTTGTATTACATGTATGTGTATGTGACAGAAAACATTAAGACATGGGTGATTACCCCTCCTTATATCAAACAGAAACTGAATGTTATCCAAACAGACAGACACGAGCCTTAAACCCTAATGTAGAGATTCACTTTTCTATTCTACCTCAGTTATGAATTGATCAATACAACCTTTTTTCTTTAACAAATACATTTAGATTAATTCCTCATTATTGAGTTTAGACAAGGGTGCTGGGCACTGCCTTTCACACATCATTAAAGCATGAATCATTTTCAATATCTAACTAAATAACATATATGTACTCCTGCTCGATTACATTTCTTGGCCACATTTCAGCATGTGTTCCAGATGGCCAATTCAGGACAGTAAACAGTGTTCCAGATGAACGATTCAGTATGGTAAACAATTTGTTACGGCTATATTTACACACAACTTTTCTGACATGTAGATGATATGTGGTCTATTTCTAAAACACATTCCTCTTTCTACAAAGTCTGAAGTGGCGTGTGTTGATAAGTGAGTATACAATACGACAACAACAGCCGAGATGATCCTGATACGGATATTTGTATAAAAAGATGAGCCATTACGTAACAGTTATAAAGTCAGAACTGCTTACTGTCAAAGATACATTATTATACAATATTGCATGTTCCAAATACCGTTCTGTTTGCCTCAGTCCTTTATCATGTAATCTGTAGAGCAGAATCATATCTAATATCAAAACATTTACTGAAACTTTCAAATTTACACTTTTGAAACGGTCCCCAATTATAACAAATTATGTTTTGCCAGCAGTCATCATCTCATTGCTTCATTTTGATCTGATCTACACCATACCAGAATTCCATCAGTCATGCTCAACCTTTGAAAAACATCTAAACCGGACAGAAAAAGCTGATAAAATAAACAGTTAACAGGGATTCACCATCAAGTATTGTCTGACTTACGTACAGATAGAAACTGGTGATAGATTGGTAATGCCTGAAACTTATACAACAAAACCTATTTGAAAATGACATTGAACACAATACATAGCACAATACATAGCAATACATACACCTAATCATGCATACACAATATGTAAAAATTCATGTTACCACATACAGTATAACTAACTTTATGCTGTATACACCAACATGAGAGGCCGTAGGTCATTGATCCTTAATTTTGAAACTCAAAATTAAAATTGAAGACAAATGACCTAGGGCAGTTAATTATCAGTTCCATTATACAAGTATGAGTCATATTCTGCAGGTCACAAAATCACAAGACTTTTAAAGTTCAATTTTTTACTAATCAGAATCTGTGCAGATGACAACATACACTATATACCTACAGTACAACATCAATCACAATGCATTAGAGTAGAACAGTGAAATCACATATTTATAAAAAAAGAAATCAAATCAGTGTTGAAATCATAACCAGAAGCTGCAATAAAAGAACTACACAATAAATAATAGCACAGTTGTATCACATTGTAACCACTTCAAAATCACCAAATGTTTAATACAAGACAGCAAATCAAAGAGCAGTACACTGAAGAGATGGTGAAATGAGGGCTGATTAAAGTACATACTAGTCTCTTCTCCCCTGATACAATCCCGGCCAGGGATAGACAGACACACCTACAATATAGACCACACAATGTCACCATGGCAACCCCTCATCCATGCAGAGCATTTCCCCTCCTAATCCTGGTCCTCACTACCCCTATCATATCGTTAGCCCCGACAACCCCCAGGTCCTCATATCATTGCCCCTGACAACCCCCTGGTCCTCATATCATTGCTCCTGACAACCCCCTGGTCCTCATACCATTATCCCTGACAACCCCCTGGTCCTCATATCGTTATCCCTGACAACCAACTAGTCCTCATATCATTACCCCTGACAACCCCCTGGTCCTCACATCATTACCCCTGACAACCCCCTCTTCCTCACATCATTTACCATGATGACCCCTGTTCCTCATATCATCACCCCTGACAATCCCTGGTCCTGACATCATAACCCCTGACAACCCTGGACAACCCCTGGTCCTGACATCATAACCCCTGATAACCCCTGGTTGTCTACCATTACCTCTTTTTTACCCCTGCTCCTCACTCCTTACCGATAACCCATGATCCTTTCAACCATAACCCCTTGTACCCGTGGCCCTTGCATAGCAATGCCCCTTGATACTCCCAGTCATCCTATATAATTTTATTCCCCCTAAAAATGTACTTGCATACCATTGCCCCTTGTAATCGCTGGTTGTCTATCATTGACACTCATAACCACTGTTCCTTAAAATTGTGTATCGTTACCTGTAAGACCTGCTCTTCACATATCATCAAAGCCCCTTGACTTGTATTTAGAAAATAATTTATCTTTTGAATAACATGTTTGTTTTCTCATTTACAAGCAACTCACTAATTAAGTATAATTACAATTAAAATCTGAGCAGTTACATATTTGAAATATTGCAGATGAAACTTTAGTGACAGATACAAAAAAAATCACTATAACTTGCTGATAACATGAATCCATATCATGTTTTGGTTTTGTACCTATTTCTATTACCGCAACATTTTAGCATTGTTTAGATCAAATGTTGTGTACTTCTGGCTGATGTGTAATTAACTGTTCCAAATGAAACTCCCCTTGCACATCAGGTCGGAGAAAACATTACTCTGAGAATCAACACTGTTTATTTGGAACAGCTTGTCAACTCTTGGATACTGAACAGAAAATCAATCTCCAAGCCTTACAAGTCTGGAACACCAACTAATAAAAGCTAATTCTCTTAAATTGATTAGTAAATGAACATCTCTGGTTTTAGGCCCATGACTTCACAAATAAACTTGATTAAAACAAGTGAATGCTATCAGATGATAATATTGTATTTTGACCTTTGACCTAAATGTTGACCTTGAAATATGACCTTTTTAAAATCCCAAACTTGATTAAGACAAGAGAAGGCCTTTCAAATGTTAATATTGTATTTTGACCTTTGACCTTAATGCTGATGAAGGATCTGGGAAATGACCTTTTAATAACCTTGACTTTGCTTCCAATGATCTGATGTGAAGGACATTATCATTAGACTTACACTACACCTGCTACATGTGTAATATTGATAACAAATTAAGACTTAATAAGGACTTTCAATTATTGCTTGATTTTATCAAAATTTCCTTCATATTTAAAAAGAAACTAAGACATTTCACTTTTATAAAATTTCAGAAAGTGTGTATATATACATACCAACCTTTAATTTATATCTTAGCCATAAAGACACAGAGAGAATTGTCTGAGCACTTCAGTCAATTACACTAAATAAACTCATGTGGACTTCAGGCAACTTTGATGATACTGATACAGTATTATATCTTGGCACTATACGATATATATCACATTCTAGAAAAGAATATTTATAAATTCAGTAATCAAAAGTCTGCATTAGGGCAGAGTGGAAGCAGTTTAAAAAAAAATCAATTTCAAACATCATAAATTCACATGTGAAATATTTACTGGACTAGATCTGTGTCGGTGCAATAAGAATGCCTCTGCAGGACAACCATAAAGAGGGAGTATAAACATGTCTTTATTTTAGTTAGCAATATTTTACCTGTAAACTCCTTTATCCCTGGTGTTCTAAGTTTTCCTTACATTTGAAATATTCCATCGTACTCAGGAGTTCTGGTTAATAAAAATTAAAGATTACGGTATGATCACACCTGGCCACACCTCCATGGGGATCCACAAACCGTAAAGATAGCATGAATAGAGGTGCATGAGTGATATAATGTGATGAGGTGGAACACTCTCATGGTATACATTGATGTGGTGATCATGGATGGAAAGAAAAAGCAAGAAATGAAACTGTATATGTACTGTATATGTCCGAGCAGCCGTATAACGTGTCACTTCCTTACGCAATATCTAGCTCTACTGCTGGAATAAACATGCACGCACTTACCGACCCCAGGGAAGGAATGGAGAGAAGGTCAGAGGTCAAGACAAAAGATGACAAATCTTTTACTTTATCCAGAAACAATATCACACCCTTTCAAGTCTCACTGTGCCAATTTATTTACTCTGGTATATCCATCAAAACCAGTGTCTTCAAAAGGTTTCATAGCAATTTCTTTAAGGATCAAAAGATGTCTTGAAATCATTGAAATTTTAACTAAAATCATAAACGTTAAAGACTTACAGGGTGAATATTGCTTATCGCAAAAGAACATTTTCAGAACACAGAAATGGTAAAGAATCCGACCTTTGTTCATACTTCTGGCACAACTAGACTTAATCTTTATAGGTTTGGACCAGTGCGACATGGCTACAAAAGGTCAAAGGTTAGACCAGTGCGACATGGCTACAAAAGGTCAAAGGTTAGAAACTGGTTATAAATTCTAACCTTGTTAGAGAGACAAGCGCCAGCGGACCATGCGTCCGTCAGTAGCCACCACCCACTCACACAATGGTTAGGTAGCTAGGGCGTACCTAATTATATCAACTTACCGTGCATGTGAGCCTGGTGGAAAAGTTTCTAATAGTCTCTCTTGTTATGACGGTGTGAACGACCCGAACCACCGTAACGGTCATACGACTCTTCATGATATGGATTGTAGTTGCGACTTACTTTGGAAGCCCCCATTTTACTTCGGCCCCCACCGCCACCACCACCACCCCCGCCTTGGCGGCGCATGTTGCGACGTTCTCTGTCACACTCTAGATCCTCCATTCTCTGTGTCAAGGTCAGTTTCTGCTGAATTGCCATCCTCAACAAGGAATTTACGGTTTTCCTTTCTTCCTCTGCACTTGCCAGTTGCCGTTGCATTTCATCCAGTTGAGTGACATATTCATCACACCTCTGGGCAAACATGGCTCGCAGTGATGCAAAAGTAGCAGCGTCTTCCTTAAGTGCTTTGAGTTCATTTCTCAATTTCACCATGGTTTCTGTGACAATCACCTTTTCAGTGAGGTATTTCTGTTTAAGATTAGCCAGAGCAACCTCTGCAGCAGATTTGTTGGCTTTCAATACACTGCGGAGAGTGGCAATCTGTTCACGTTTGGTGGACAACATGGCCTTCAGTTTGACCACCTGTTCCTGGAGCTCCTGGACATCTTGATTTTCCGTGTCAACTGACCGTTGTTGTGACACCTCCATTAGATGCTCCACACCACGCTTTAGGTATTTCACTTGGTCAATGATAGTCTCAGTCAGTTTGTAGCAGGAAATGGGGTCACCCTTAATGTCACCATTGACAACGTCCTTTTTGGTTTTGGATTTCAGTTTTGCAGATTTCTCAGAGTTTTCTTTATCCTCCTTTTCTTCACTGCTCTCTCGATCCTGCCGCGACATCATGGCTGCCGATTTCACATGATCAAGCATGACACGGCTTGGAGTTTCTCCGCTTACTTCACAAACCAAGTGATAAAGCTGTGCAAGCTCCTCTGTGACTCGGACAAGTTCATCCTGTGTCGTGGTCAGACTACCCTGTGCCTCACCTGCAGCCAGAGACATAGCTTTAAGATCCTTGCCAAGGTCTATGATAGTGTCGTGATAACCGTTACACTTGTTCTTCATGGCCTCAATAGCCTCTTCAATGCTCTTATCAGCTTTCACACCTCCAAGCTGACTTCGCTCTTGGAGACGGTTCAATTCCTCGTGTAAGCTATTAATTTCCTGCAAAGCATTTGAGTATTTGTTTTCTCCAGGACTCCCATTTTTGGCAAATGTTCCCTGAGATTCCCCTTTAATTAAAGTACTAATCTGTGCTTTGAGCTGATCAGCCCGCTGCTTCTGTTCCACTAAGTCTGTCTGGGTGTCCTGTATTAATTTCTGGGCTTCATCAAGAGCCGTTTGAAGTTCTAATTTTTCATTTTCACTTTGACTCAACATTTGTTCTAACTTTTTCACTTCATTCTCCTGAATTTCACTGAGAATGTCGTTCACCTTGCCTGGGCCAGGTTTCACGGGCGATTTGGTTTCCTCCTGTTTAAAGTCAGCCTCAATCCGTTTGAGAGCAGGATTGTGTTGTTCCCCTTCCTCATTATCATCCTCAACCTCGTTATGGTTGGGAACAAGATCCTTCAGGCCCTCACTGAGTCCTCCAAAATGAGCAAGGTTGCTAAGATTAAACATAGATTCCTGACTTAAACGCTGGTCCAGTTCTTTCTTGTAAGCATGTTTCTGTTCTCGTTCATGCTGAAGTGAGTTGAGCGCCTCATCAAGATTTTTTTCTACTATCCTTTTGAGACCCATTGCATCTTCTAATTGAATGTGAAGGTCATCGGCCTCTTCTTGAAGACGTTTTATTTCATGTTTCATACCTTCATATTCAACCTGTCCCTGTTTCAACTGGGATACTTGTTTCTGTAACGAGATATTTTCATCCTCCAACTCCGCATAATCAACCAAGTTCCGATTCTCTCGAATCTTATACTCCCGTAGTTCATTTTTATACTGGCGTCTTTGTTCCTCGAGAGTGTCGGAACTTTGTTGGAGTTCTAGTACTGCAGAATTCAATCGTTCGTTCTCACCTTCAAATCGTTCGAGTGCCTGTTTACATGTCTTTAGTTCTGTTTCTAGGTCTAAAATCACAGATTTATAACTTTCTTCCCGTGTGACTGTCTCCAGCAGAAAACTATCCTCCTGGTGTATGCCACTCTTCTGCTGCTTGCGAAAGGTGTCCTGATGTTTATTCAAGGCCTGTAAGAAAAGAAAAAATTCGTTAAAATTTAGTGAAAAAACAAATTCTCTAGAAACTGCAAATTGACTAAAAAGTATAATTCACAAGCTTTGGTAAGATTATGAATTTAAAAAGGAAATCTTAGTTGTCACATTCAAATCATACTTTGTACTTATATCCAGACATCAATATACAATGTACTCGATTATTAATACAAGTTAGAATATCTTAAAATTTTCAAATTCATGTATACTTTTAAATGTATTACTGTTATAAATTAACACCTATACAGTTATATTAATTATTTTACAAGTTGATTTTAATTTTCATCCTACAATGGGTTGGGGAGGGGCAGGATTCACACATTACTTAGGGGCAGGGGGAGGGGCAGGGGCAGGGACAGGATTCACACATTACTTAGGGGCAGGGGGAGGGGCAGGATTCACACATTACTTAGTGGCAGGGGGAGGGGCAGGGGGAGTGGCAGGATTCACACATTACTTAGGGGCAGGGGGAGGGGCAGGGGGAGGGGGAGGGGCAGGATTCACACATTACTTTTTAATTGGTTGGTGTAACAACTAAATAGCATTGACATATGATCTTACAAAAACATCATGAGTGGTATCAAATTAATACCAGGCATGAGCTTATAACGAAATATGTAAAATAATTCTTATTGGATAGCAAGTTGGGTGATAAAATATTCACTTGGAAAGGAAGTAGATACTTAAATCCTTTGTGTACTTGTGAGGCAACTACTAATGTGCTCAGTTCTTAAGATTCTGGTAACGTTTCAACTAGCAGTGACAAATTATGAAGTGGTTGTTTGAATGTAAGTTCTTGATAACATCATCAGAGTGAAGTGTGTGGTGACTGCAGTCAAGGACATCAACAATAGAATGTCATTATATTGTATATCACATAGAGAACTTCACAGATTGTAAGAGCAAATTTTTTTCTACATAAAATTCCAACACAAAACTTGGTCAATTATCATTTCAGTTTCGCAAAATGATAAAATAAAAACAAACATAATACATGAACTTATTAACTCCCACAAGCTAATACAGATATATCATATATTAGTCCAAATCATTTGTTTGGCCTTACACATGTCTCCTGTTGGATAAATTGATAAGAAATGGACCACTCGTTTGCTTGGCCTTACACAGGTCTCAAGTTGGATAAATTGATAAATTAATCAGAAATGGACCACTCATTTGCTTGGCCTTATACAGGTCTCCTGTTGGATAAATTGATAAATTAATAAGAAATAGACCACTCATTTGCTTGGCCTTATACAGGTCTCCTGTTGGATAAATTGATGAGAAATGGACTACTCCTATGCTTGGCCTTATACAGGTCTCCTGTTGGATAAATTGATAAGAAATGGACCAGACATTTGCTTGGCCTTATACAGGTCTCCTGTTGGATAAATTGATAAGAAATGGACCACTCATTTGCTTGGCCTTACACAGGTCTCCTGTTGGATAAATTGATAAATTGATAAGAAATGGACCACTCATTTGCTTGGCCTTATACAGGTCTCCTGTTTGATAAATTGATAAATTGATAAGAAATGGACCACTCATTTGCTTGGCCTTACACAGGTCTCCTGTTTGATAAATTGATAAATTGATAAGAAATGGACCACTCATTTGCTTGGCCTTATACAGGTCTCCTGTTGGATAAATTGATAAATTAATAAGAAATGGACCACTCATTTGCTTGGCCTTATACAGGTCTCCTGTTGGATAAATTGATAAGAAATGGACCACTCATTTGCTTGGCCTTATACAGGTCTACTGTTGGATAAATTGATAAGAAATGGACCACTCATTTGCTTGGCCTTAAACAGGTCTCCTGTTGGATAAATTGATAAATTAATAAGAAATAGACCACTCATTTGCTTGGCCTTATACAGGTCTCCTGTTGGATAAATTGATAAATTAATAAGAAATAGACCACTCATTTGCTTGGCCTGACATTTATTTCAGGGTGGTTTTCTAGCAGGTTATTTTAGATAGCTGTCTATTATCCATATACAACTATCAAACACATCATCTTACCCACACACTGCAGCAGCAACTGTTCCAAGTTTTAAATAAAAGATTTATAAATAGATGCTTCAGCCTTGGGTTAAAAGTAAGAGTAGAGGCAAAGATATGAACATACATTTGGCGAACCACCAACCACTATATCTTGTAATATATTAAAATATGTTTGAAGCCAAGTTCTATACCAGAAATATCTGGTCCATGAATACACACGCTAACAGTAGTTTAAGATTATATAGGGCTCATTCTACTGTGGCAATATGTTGTGTCAACACCATCCCACTTTTCTTTAGCATCGGCATGTGTACTACAACATTAACAATACTAGCACTTCATAACAGTAAGTTCTGTGCACTTTAAGACATATGTCTACTGCGGAATCTTGATGGAGAAAACGACTGATAGGAAGCTAATGTAGCATACACAGGTGGGTGTATTACGCTTTAGCTTTGTACCCTTCTAACTTGGGACATGTTTAGGAATTTTGACACTTATTAAAAATAATTCTGATTTCGACTGATTTCTGTCACCTGTCCTACAGTAATTCAACCAAGATACCCGTAAATTGTCACAACTGGTCAACAGGATTTTAACTCCAACCTGAAAATTCTGAAACCTGTTTAACAGGTCTATTGACCTCTTCTAGCCAATTCTGATACCTGTATAATAGGAATATAGACCCCTACTAGTGAATTCTGACACCTGTTTAATAGGATTTTAACCCTTACTAGTGAATTCTGACATCTGGTTTACAGGATTTTGACCCTTAATAGTGAATTCTGACATCTGGTTTACAGGATTTTGACCCTTACTAGTGAATTCTGACATCTGGTTTACAGGATTTTGACCCTTTCTAGTGAATTCTGATGTCTGGTTTACAGGATTTCAACCCTTACTAGTGAATTCTGACATCTGACAGCATTTTGACCCTTACTAGTGAATTCTGACATCTGACAGCATTTTGACCCTTACTAGTGAATTCTGACATTTGTTTATTTAAGATTTTCTTCTTACCTGTGAATCATAAAATCATTTTCATTGTGTTTTCAGCCTGATGAATGTTTAGACAATTCTACAGATGTTGATCATTACCTTCTCAATCTATCTTGTTACCTGTGTTTCAATGACTGTGTAAAGACCATAAGAAAACTCTAGATTGAAACCCAAAGCACTCTTAGAGTCCATTAAAAAATACATTTACAAACCTTTTAAATATTGACTCTAGGTGTGAACTGACCCTGAATGAGCCGAGATATTTCTGCCAGTATGTACCAGTCTATCCCCAAATGAATGTAATCTGAAGACTAAAATATCACAACCCAGTTTGGAATATAGAACCTATCGTAAAAGCTACTGAACCGTGAAATATTGTTCCATTCATATCTAGAGTGTTCAACAATCCAATATGATGTAACCGCATGATGACATCAGCACAGAGATTATATATAGCCCATTGGTATCGTTGTAATTACAAAGACTTGAATTTTTTTTCTTTGGTTCAGTATAGAAGTTCTCCCTGAAGTATTTCTTATTTTTTCTAATACAGAGGACTATTGGCACCTTAACTGTTGCAGACCATGCACATTTTCTTGTTAATGAAAATGTTGTCCATGAAGAGCCACTTAAATAATAATTAAATCTACCTCCCACTGCCATATTGAAGACCTTAACTCCAGTTAAATTTGCTGGGCTTCACAATCAATAATATCCTATTTTGAGTTGTTTTTTTTCTCTAAATTTTTCAGGTTGTTTTTATGTCAAAACTTGATATGTTTGGTAAGTGTCCACATGCAGCCTCCATGTTTAAATATAGCAGTCAAGTTTAATTCTTGGATAAATTACATTGTGTTCATATCACAATGTCACACATATATGAAGTGAGTTATATTGAGAGTACAAGGTCAGTGTCTTAAATATCAGCTATATTTTGTCTTTTTATCCCAAGCTAAATGCAGTTTATATTTGAAGACAATGGCCATGAATTTTGCCAGATGACGTACTTCAAAATAATTGAAATATAGCTCCAAACTTCAACAGCAATTTTATGAATTTTTATAAATAAACCTGTTCATTACAACATGTAAAATCATGTAGTTCAAGTTATTTATATTGTTAAACATAATTTTGATAATAATTCAGAAATTAATTCTGTGAAATTCAAGTACAGCTGTTTTCTGTCACTGCTGATTACAGCAAAAATATATGTGGCAGGCATATTCTGACAATGGTAGTGCCAGTTGCAGTATAAACATTAATATGAGAAGAAAGAAAATTTGACCGGAATGGCTCACTGCTAAGCTCTATGAATCATCTGCTTGACCAGCTACATACCAACACTAAGTACACCCACATAGTTAACACCATATCTTTAACATTAGGTAGATGAGACACCTAGTCCTACCTAAGTTTATCAATGGGTGATAATATGACACAGTAATTTACCTCTCACGCCTAACCCAAACATCCACCCAGAAAATATCTCACAAAGATTCCTGATTTGCAACTCCATTCAAATCTAACAAAACAAGTTCTCAACCAACAAGTGTATGGTACTTTAATATCAACATATCCCTTATTTATATTTAAATCAGAGCACCTACAGAGTGAATATATACATAATCAGGTTTTATTTAACACAAAGTCCTTCCTGTGAAATAAAAAATTTATAGCCAATCAACACCAATAATTAATTTCGTCAATGATGTGTATGAATAAGTCACAATTAAACAGGTAACACAAACACTGTGTTATATCTGGTATAAATCTACAGGTAGTTAATAAGACATGGTTCACTTATCTGTCACTCAGGTGTAGTAAGTATATCGTACAGGTATACACGTTTGTCAATCTATTTTACCTGTACAAATACAGAGGTGACATAGTTTGACACCATGACGAAACAACAACCTGTCGGTCTGGTACAGGCATTTCACTTCACTATAAACACCTCAACATTCTGTCAC